CGCCTTCCGGCGCGCGTTTTCAACCCGTCGGAGCGTTGTTAATGGTTTAGCTTTGAGAAGCACCTACATACACGCGGTCTAAGGGTCTAAGGCTAGGGTTTAGACATCCCCACACCATGAGATAGTTAGCGAATGGAGAACTGCAAGAAGAACCCACAAGTTCAAGAAACTCTCCACCTTTACGGTTGGGATCCAGTAAGCCCCCGTAGACGACCAAACAAGCTGCAAGCCATATCAGGGAGGAGACGTCGCGCTTCCGGAAAAACTCGTAGATGAGGACGAGAATCAGCGACACGTGCAAATGCACCACATAGTAACACGCAGTTTTCCAGGATCGCGCTAAGACTTTTCCTTGCTCCTCGTGGTTGCTTTGCACTTCAGCAGACTTTTGGGGGAGCATGTTCGAGCTTTCCAATGGTCTTCTCATTTACGAGCATCGATGTGTAATCTTCGGTGGAGACTTTGTCAAGTGCTGTTCTGCTACTTGTGACTTGTGAGCTACTTTTATAGCCAACAGGTCCCTAACCCTAAGCCTTCATCCCTAAACCCCGAACCCTCAGTCCCAAACCCCCCCTACCCCGCAAACCCCCAGACCCTTAAACCCTAAGCCTTCATCAATATAGGGGTCCCCATAATAAGGATTATAGTTTAGGAGGACCCCCCACCCTGTAATAGTGCTATAATAGGAATATAAGAGGACCCTAATAAAATCCTTATCCATAATAATCACTATTACTCTAAACCCTAAACCCTAAACCCCAAATTATAGTAAACCCTCTATGCACGCACCTCCTCAAGATGCTTCTCTAAATCCGCGTCTTGCTTGGGCGCATTTTTGCTCGCTTTCCGCTGACTTTGCATGGCCAAAGGCATGTGCCGGGTGAGCAGCCAGTGCCTAGGGTCTTTTTGAGGCTTCAGTAAGCTTTAATGTTCTAGATTTATGAGTTTTGGGTTTGGGGTTTAACAGGTTTGAGAGTGAAGGCTCAGAAGATCGATTTCGTGGTTTTCTGCCTAAGTTTGAAGCTCAACCCTAAACCCTAGATGTCCCCATAAGCCTTTTAAAGGGTTGTCAGGGCATACCAATTTGAAGAAGCCTAAACCACCAAGGGGCCACATATATGCTTTTGACACTACTAACTAAGTCTAACTACTTACAGTAAGCAAATGACAAAACAAGTAGCACTAGTGATAATAGCTATACTGGCAATACCGTCGACACCAGCCAAAAAGGAGATCCTGACATAACAGCTGCAATAACATAACACCACAGTCCTTACCATGATAATTGCTACTACAAGTACGCCCCCAATAGACTATAGTAGTCTTCATTTTCTTTTCTATTTTCCCCATACAAACCCAATGTACCATGGTAGTCTCCATTTTCTTTTCTATTTTCCCCATACAAACCCAATGTACTATGGCAGTCTCCATTTTCTTTTCCATTCTCCCCAATCTTGAAGAAATCAGCTGCTTGGCACTTCAAGAGGCCATGCCAGAAAGCCAAGGAGGCCTAGCAGCCTCAAGCAGTCACAGAGCTTGAGAGAGATTGCGGGGTCTTGAGGTTTTGTTCGGGAGCCCCTTTTGCTCGCGCTATGGGGTTGTAGGGTTTGGGGGTATAAGGGTTTAGGGATTGGGGCTTGGGGTCTAGTCTCTACTGTAGAGTCTAGGGATTGGGTTTCAGGGCTTGGGTAAGGTTCAGGCGTTGAACCCTGAACCTTAAACTTGGACCCTAGACCGCAAAACTTCAACTCTCAGTAGTAGCTTCCATGTTTTTTGCCATTATCCCCATTTGGTGCTTTCCATAGATACGGGACCCCAACACAAACCCCAAAATACCTTAAACGTCGCTATAGGGAGCCCCGACTTGAACTCTGGGAAACCCCCCATATGAGCTACAACCTAAACTCCTAATAAAATCCCTCTCTAACCCCTATAATAGTCGCCTATATAACCCCCTTTAAGGAGTTTAGACTATAGCTCATATAATCCAAAGCGGCTTCAGGTCTGAGCCCTGCATCCCTTGTATCATATAAGAGGTTATAGTTCCCCTTAAGTAGACAGAATATGGGGTACATGGGGATCTTATTATATTATAGATACCCAAAGCCATATTCTATCTACTTAAGGGGGGCTATAAGGGTTTGGGGCTCAGGGGATGCTAGCGTTGATATTAAAACCTGCATGACCTTACTATACTATAGCAGCATATAGCAGCGTAATTCCCAAGGTTTAGGGTACTTAGGGTCATGCAGGATTTTTAGGCATCCACCGTATCTGGGTGTTGCTACCAGAGAGCAGCGGAGTTACGCCTCCGCCAGCAGCGAGCCCCTGAACCTGCAGATACGTACTGCTGAGGGGAAAGGGTTAGGGGATTTGGGGAATTTAGGAGTTTAGGGGTTTAGGGGATTCAGGAGTTTAGGGGTTTGGGGGATTCAGGATTTTAGGGGTCTTGGGTTTAGGGCTGGGTACTCGCTTTGGGTTCTGGAGCTTAGGATCTAAGGTGTTATCACAGGGCCGAAGTCCCACCTGCACCAGCAGGAGATCAAGGGCTCCATCCATGGCGGCAGGCAGCGAAAGAATCCTTGCGATACCTCTTTGGGGGTTACTCCTTACAGAATATTGCGCATGGTGCCCTCAAATACTCTCGTTCTTGTTCTTCAGGCCCCTATGGCCTTTCTTTTGGGCTTTTGTGGCGGCATCGGTGGTACCCTAATGCTGGTCAATCTGCTGGGATGGCAAATAGGTTTCAGGGCAAGTGATGAAGTGAAACAAGCCACATCGAAATCCTGTTTAGAATCTGTACGCGCGGCACCAGTCATTCAGAGTCAGACATCGTCCAACAGATGGATCGGGTCCCTCAAAATAGGGCCAGAAACTGTACGGTACAAAAAACCCTTCACTTTCACAATCTTCTATGTGCGTGGGATGAATATGTTGTGCAAACATCGTTGCTTAAAAGACAGCTCACCCCTAGCCTAGTTAGGGATTCTTGGATGCCTATAAGTTGGGTGCTATGCACCCTTTTTTTGGCTGCAGCTACCTTACAAGTGGGAGTCTGCCTTTGACGCCGCTGATGGGCGGTATGTGATGGCAATGATTGACCCTGATCCACGATGATGCTGCAACATGCAGACCCAGATCACGAGACCCGAACCACAGAATTCACATTCTGTTCCCAGATCCCTGCCCTTGATAATGAACATCTAAACCCCCTAGTAATGCTCCCTCCCCAAAATTACGCGCCAATTATAAGGCAATCCCAATATGATAGCTTCCCTCATTTCCTACTAAGCCCCAGTAAGATTAAGCCTGGGAAGCATTTCGACAAGATTTCTGTGCGATGTGAATAATGAATAGATCTTGGCTACCCCAACCCGCAAAATAAGTTCCACGTGACTTGATACTGGGTGCGTTTTGATGAGGGTCAGGGCTACCAAAATCCTAAACTCTAAGTTGTAAACCGCACACTCTAAACCCTAAGCCCTTAAACTCAAACCCTAAACTAAACCCTAAGCCCGTAAATCCCCAAATTCTAAGCCCCAACTCGCCAAAGCCCTCTAGATAAGAGTTACCGCTGCGCAGCAGGAGCCAAACCTTGGTGGAATGTATAGGCCCAAGTAAAAAGAATCGGTGGTTTAAGGCTTAAATCAGAATTTTAGGGGTTTTGTAGGGTTCAGCGTAAGAACCTTCAGAAGTGGCACAATGGAGAATCAGATTGTAAGGAAAATTGACGATGAGATGGAAAGCGTTTTTTTTTTCGCACGGGGTTTGTGGGGATCGTAATGTATTGCTTAAAATGGACTACGGGTGTTGGGGTATACTCTACTATGGTAACTTAAGGATTAGAAGGCCTCTACCTTAGCCCGTTGATGACTTCTTTGGGAAGTTACTCCAAAATCACAGCCCTTGTAATTTTATGGAAGCTTCTCTCCACTGCGTAAACCTCAATGATCATCAATAAGCCCAATGTATTAGTGTTTGCCCTCATCTGTCCGTCTACGCCCTCAAAGAGAACTCCTGAGATGAGCACAGACTTCTACGCCCAGTTGCGAGCGAGGCTGAAGCCACCTTGAAAACAACAAGTACCTACGTACAGTCATGTTCAGCTATTCTGTCCGTTTTCTTCACGATGGCGTCATGATGACTGGCGTAACTGCCATTGTTTGGTAGATAGGCAGGGTGGAATTAGGCAGTCGGAGCCCAGTTGTTGCAGCAGAAAGCAAAACAAAACCTGAAACCTAAGCCTGTAGTGTTTAGGTCCTGAATCCTAGACCCTGAACTCTCCCTCCAAATTCTAGCCACATGATGGGATTTGGGGCAATGTCCTGCTGAAGAGATCTCCTGGCTCGGCAGCACAACTTCAGCAACCTCTCTTGGTTTTGCGTGTAGGCTTAAACGACTAGGATTCAATGACGTAAGGCGTAAGGTTTTAACTGTGTGCGGCAAAGCGGCAAGCTTCACCTTGGACTCCCTTCTCCCAAAAGGGTTGATGGTCAGGATGGGAGTCCATGCTAGGTCGGGAGAGGGGTGGTGTGCTTTTCCTTCCTTCGCACAAGTGCCCAAGCCTTTTCTGAGCTTAACCTCTAAACCCTGAATTTCTGTACTCGAACACCCTAAATCTCTCGCCCCTACACTGCAAATCCATGAATCTCAAACCATCAGCCCTCAAACCCATAAGTCGCTAAGGCCAATGTCTCAGACCTGAGGCCCCAAAACCAAAACCGTCAAAAACGATAACCAAATTTCTAAATTCTAAACCAAGGCCTAAAACCCTAAACCCTGGACCCAAAAAACCTAAAACCGCACAAACCTTACCACTCCCCCAAAAAAATCAAACCCCAGAATCCTGAGCACCATTTCACGACCGCCATGTCACAAGAATTCTGACCGCCATTTCACCCACGTGAGCGTCTTCTGCGCTCCGCCTCCGAGCGGTCCGCAGATTAAAAGCCTCCTTGTATCCCTGCAGTTTGCAGTGGAATGGGGGTCCGGGATCAGGCGTAAAAGGCTTTTGGCTTGGGGTATGGGGAGTAGGGTATGGTTCAGAAACATGGCAGCATGTGGGGTGGGGTCCTCGTTCTTTCCCACGACATTCCACTGTGTTGCCACCCGGGTTTGGGGGTTCAGCGCACAGAGTCTAGAAATACAGAAGGATTTGTTAGGAGGTAAGTAATGTGACTACCCAGAGGGGAGTGCTTTAGACTCCCCTGAAGGTGGCCTAGAGTCACTCCTGGATTTCTGTGGGAAGGATCCTCCTGGCCTGGGAAGTCTCTTCTACGCAAGTCAGGGAAGACGGCTCAGTAGTCGGTTTGCGCCGCTCCTCATTGAAATTACTCAGGGTCAGATGTAGCAAGGCCGGCTGCGTAGCGGAACGGGGCCCGTTGAAGACAGACTTCAAAGTTACGTCTCGGGCACGAATGAAGCTCCTGGAGTCTCCAGGGACCCGGAACATCAGGGGTGCAAGCTTCTTCTGTGCTGGAAGCTCCTTCCGTGCGACCCGGGCGTACTGTCGAAGCTTTGCTTCCAGCGGGAACCAGTCGAGTGGACGGAGGAACTTCTTCAGAGAGGGCATGCCCAACCCAATCTTGTCCTGAGGATGTCTCACAACAGATGAACCCTTTAGGAGTACACCTATATCCTATATGTTGGGGGTCCTTCTTAAGGACTACGTGTAAGCATGGATTTGGACAACTCTCTCCTCATCGCTGCGCCGTGAGAAACGCATCACAACTTCGGGCATGTCAATTAGCTCGGTGCCGGCATTCAGCGTCAGCGTCAACTGGGAGAGCTCCTCGAACATTTGAATGTTCTCAGTAATGCCGCTGTCCAAAGATGTAACCGATGGTGGAAGGCACCTGGACTGCCGACCAAAGAGGATCCTGCTCAGCAGGCTGCTTGGGATGGAATCCTTCTCAGCATCCGTTTGGTAGCTTCGAGAGTCTGCATCTTCCGCGATTGCCAGCAAATGCCGCCCAGACGATACGCCCAGCGTCTTGGGAAGCGCGACGTGAAACACGTCAGCACTCACCAGGCGTCTCGATCCCCTGAGGGCTAC